GTTCAGCGGAGTCAAGTCTATTGACTCGTTGCACGAAAGAAGACTGTACACTGGGAGAACCACAGGGCTAACTCTGTAGCTGAGTTTATTAGTGCCTATTGTTCCAGCCTGAAGAAGTTTTACTTTTTCAGTCCAAACTAATTTTCACCAAACAAAAGAAAAGATAGAGTTTTTAGAGATTTTTGGGGGAGAGTGAAGTTTCGCTGAAATTTTGGTGAAGCAGTGTCTTGGTTGTCTTAGTGCAAAACAAGGCTGTGTGTAAATGGGTCAACATCAGGTCTGGACTGAGAAGTCGAGCAGAGTCCTGTTCTTTTGAGAACAAAGTTAAGAGAGATGTGGAATATTGCTTCTTCTCTGAAGACCAGCATGTTGGTTGTAAATGAAGGCTGTTTTTCTCTGTCAAAGTGACATAAACCCTCCAGGCAAGAGTGGGATGTTTCATTCTTAGTGATGTAATTTATAACGCAAAGTTTCTGATAGATTATGATTTTAGAGAACAAAGTTTCTCAGTGAGTAAGAAAATAGTCGTCACTCAAAGAGGGGGGTTGTTATGACGTTTTATAGCTGCAGAGTGTCCTTGGGAGAAATATTATTTCCTGTTAACTTTGTAGCTGACTTTATTGGCACCTGTTATTCCAGACTGAAAGATTTTTATTTTCTCAGTCCAAACTAATTTTTACTTTCTTACTGTACAGGACTTGGATGGTGGCTCTATTTTTGTTGTCTGGAAGCTAAACTCCTTTTACCTTTCCCCTCTGTTATCTTATCATCAGCTTGTTACCATATGATGATAAAATGGTGAATTAACCTTCAGCACGTCTGCATTCTCTTCAGGAAGAAGGGCAAGTCAAGGAAGCATATCCCACGTATGCCACCTTCAAGAGTTTTGCCTGAAAGTCCCACTCAGTGACTTCCACTTATGTCTCATTGGCCTGAACTGTGTCACGCGAGTGTGTGATAAACACATTTTTAAACTTTCATATTGTTGCTCCTGAATAAGATTGAGATTTTCTTAGTAAGGAAGTAGGGGAGAATGGCTATTAGGTGGGGAAATGGAAGTCTCTACAATGCTTTCCAAACTCCGATAAATTGATATTAAAGGATAACAAAAGTATAAACATACAGGAAAAAAGAATACATGAGAAGAGAGAAGAGAAAATGTCAGTAGGTTTTTTTAAAGTTGTAAAGCAGATGGAAAAGTGTTAACTTGACTTACTGGAGCAGAGGGAGTGAAACTCTAAATGCCGGCCAAGGCGGATGGCATCAAGAACCAAATTGATTCGCCCCATAGAATCTTGGAAAGTGAATGGAGGTTCTGTGGGAGATGCAAGTGAGGTGTGAGCTGTAAACAGAGAGATTGGTTAAAAGCCACCATAAGGAGTAAATTTCCATTTAATAAGTTTTTCTTTTATTTTCATTGATTCCTTTCTAGTTTCATGTTTATTTTATTCTTGAGCTTCTTGAGTTCAATGCTTAGTATGTATTTGAAATCTTTCTTGTTTTAAGCAAGATTATATTATGTGTGACTACTGATATTTTTGTATTCATTCCTGCCATCTCATTTTATTTTTTATTTATTATTAATTTTTGTTTTTTATTCTTTTAATAAACTTTCCTTCTTTTTTGTTGGTTTAACTAAACTTTTCAATTTTTTGTTCTTTCATAGTTCAGAAGTAGGTACTTTATTTCTGTTTTTCTAGTGGTTACTCATAAAAATTTTTAATGCACCTAAATTTTTTATACCAAATGCATATTTAATCAGGCTCTATATTTTTTCCATGATCAAGTCAAGGACCTTAGCAGGCTTTTCTTTTCTTCATTTCCTTCTCTACCACCCTCATTCCTCCTATCCAGTGAGGATTTGATCTGGAATTACAATTATATATATATAATTTATTATATATTTATAATTTACTATATAATAACTTCAGATTGTTGTTTTTATATATTTACATTGATACAATATATATGAATTTTTCAAATAAGATGTATTTAGCTTAATAACTTTTTTGGAAGTTTTTGCTCACTTCTTTAATTTTTTTCCCTTTAATTTATTGTTCTTGCTGGAACACACTCTCTAGTAATTCTTTCAGAGATTATGTATGGAAGGTAAATCATCTAAGTCCTATTGAATGAACCTCATTCTTGGATCTTAGTTTGAGTGGGTGTAGAAGGTTAGATTCAAACTTATTTTCAAAATTATTTTCCTTTATATCTTTGAAGCTGTGTTTGATTACAAGACTGATGTCAATTGGATTCTCAGTTCTTTGTTTCCTCTTTCTGGAAACTTTCAGGATTTTCACTTTATCCTTAGTAATCTTAGTGTGATGTGCTTGAGACTTGGTGATGGACCCTTTCCATCCGAGAGCTCATGTCTTTCTTTAGTTTTGGGAAATGTTCTTCTATTATATTTTAAGTAATTTCTCTAATCAACTTTCTTCATTCTGTCTGGAACTTGTATCAGACGTATTTTGGAATGCCTGCATTTATCTTCCATATCTCTTAATTTTCCTTCATTCTTCCAAATTTTTATGACTTTTTACTCTGCATTCTCGCCCATGAGTTTCTTGCTTACTAATTCCCTCTTAGGCTCTGCACATTCTGCAGATCAGCTTATGATAAACTACTAGTTCTCAGCCAATATCCATTCTTCCCATTGTAGTAAAGGCACATGGCTGTGCCTCTGAAGACCACATTTCATAACCTCTTTTATATATTGGTGAACCAGGTAACAAAGCCTGGAAATGAAATGTGAGGGGAAATGATGTATCACTTCTGGATATTGCTCTTAAAGTGACTGGGTTGCAATTCTTTTGTTCTTCTCCCCTTTTCTACTGGCTGGAAGATGATGAGAAGTGGCCCAGCCACCTAGGACACACAAGTAGAAAGCCATTTGTTGAATATGGCAAGAGCTTCCTACCAGCCCTAAACTGCTTGCCAATCCCTGGATTGTGATGTGAGAAGGGAAAAACTTCTCTGTTGTTTACGCGACTGTTTTAGTGTCTTTAATAAGTTTAACAGCACCCAAGCTAAGCACAGTCTACTGATTTTTTTACGTTTCAAAAATAAAAATTTTGTTACTCTTTTGTTGGTTCTTTTATATTGGTTCAATAGGCTTTCCTTTCTCTCTGAAAATGTTAACTCTGTCTAGTCTGATCTTGTTTTTTGTTTTGCTTTACTCTAGCAGAGTGGTTCTAAACTTTAGCATTCATCAGAAGAAACACCTAGAGAACTTGTAAATATACAGAATCCATCCATGCCCCACCCCAGAATTTCTGACTCAATAGCTCTGGGGTGGGGCCTGAGAATTTGCCTTTCTAATAATTTTCCACATGATGCCAATTGCTAGTCTGGTCATCATGCTTTGAGAACCACTGTTCCAGTAACTCTGTTTCACACAAATGTAAATTCTTCTTTGTTGAATGAGGAGCCTTTTATTTTGTTGACTCTTCTCAAATGTTTAGTTACTCTTGGATGTGTGCTCAGAGTATTTGAAATTCCTGAAGTTCAACGTGCTACGGCATGTTTGTTACTATAGCTTTACCCCAGTGCTTTTAGGAGATGGGCAATACTTGCTTCTAGGAGAGAGCTGGTTTTCTGGAGAGTGGGCTTCTATTCATCCTGGATGTCACCAGCCTTCTGGGACACTAACTCCTCTTGCCTAGAGGCAAATACCTCTGAGGCTCTTTACCTAAATTGTTTTAGAGGAGGCTGTCTCTTGCAATTTTGGAGCTGTCATCTTGTTAGTTGTCCTAAGGCCCCTTCTGCTCACAGGACCCACCAGTTTGGGGCTTGAAGCAGTCTTAGAGTCATTTTGGTATTTCCTAGCTTGCCTCCCAGTGCATGATTAGGCTGTGGATTCCTTCTTCATTTATCCCACCTGTCTCCTTTCTTGAGGGGATTCTTCTAAGTTTCTATTCCTTTGGAGGACTCCTTCAGTATTAGTCCATGTCTTTATTGATTTCTGCTTATACAATTTTCTGTAGTTATCAGGGATTGGATGAGGGAAAGGGATGTGCCGGCATATTCTCTGTCCTCAATCTTGATCCAGCCTCTCCACACTTTATTTTTATTTATGAGTTTAGTAAATAAAAATACAAACTCTCTCAGCTATATTGCATGCTTTTTGAGGATCTAGTACTACACTGCACCCTCAGACATATTTGTATTTCTCACAATTTAATAAATGCTTGTTTGCATAAGGCTCCATTTCATCTAACCTGCCTTTGGTGGTTTTTGCACATAACCTACCTGCTGTGTGTTTAGAAAATAAATTTTGTTTTAAACATGAGCCTAAGCTAAGGACAATTAACATAAACTAGAGATAATCAATATTCATAGCAATAATATTATTTATTGGGCCAGCCCCGTGGCTTAGCGGTTAAGTGCGCGTGCTCCTCTGCTGGCGGCCCAGGTTCAGATCCCGGGCTCGCACCGACGCACCGCTTCTCCGGCCATGCTGAGGCCACGTCCCACATACAGCAACTAGAAGGAAGTGCAGCTATGACATACAACTATCTACTGGGGCTTTGGGGGAAAAATAAATAAATTAAAAAAAATTAAAAAAAAATATTATTTATTGAGGACTTGCAATGTACCAGGCTTAAGCGAAGCACTTTATGCATACTCTTCTTATCACTGTTGTACAGATGAGGGTACTAAAGCACAGAGGTGGCAAGTACCTCACCCCAAATCAAACAACTAGTGAGGAGCAGACGGAAGATTTAAACTCCAGAGCCTGTGCTTTTAAGCATTGTATTGACTGCCTCCTGTGAAGGTGTATTTGCTAGTTTTCAAAGTCAAACAGCCGATGTGCATTATACATGACTTTTATGTTATAATGTATGTGAGAACATCTGGCATGGAGCTAAAACTAGACTCTCCGTATTTTTTAGTAGTTATTGAATTGGAATAGAAATAATCATTGTTGCCTTTTGTTATTGTCTGATAAAGTTGAGTTGACGAGAGACAATTGTTATTTCCTGTTAATTTAACTATAGGTACTAGTGCTACAGACTTACTACAGACAATGGCATGCTAAAATCGTGGTAAAGAATTTAAGAAGACAGAAAATGTTAAGGCTGAAGTGGGAAGCACAGGAAGAACTAAGGAAGATGAGAGAAAAAGAAGAATGGATGAAATTGGACTATTACCGGAGGCATAATCCTCAAACAAAAGAAGATTTTGAACTACTTTATAATGCACTGGAACGTAAGTTTGAAATAGGCTTTGCATAAAATGTTCATTTTATAATTTTTTTATTAGTAGGAAAAACAGGTTTACAAAAGACAAAAGGAAGACCTGATTATTTTAGGAAGATGTCTTGGGAATCTGGACCAGAGAATTTAAAAAGATGAATAGTCTCTTACAATTGGGACAAGAACTAAGGCTGAAATGAAAGTGGTAATGCTTTTATATTAACAATGGGTAAATAAAATGTGCATACTGCTCTGTAAATTATGCAGTTTTAGTGTATTATCTCATTTGATTCTCATCTCTGTGAGATAAAGAGAGAAAGTATTGTCCAATCTGGTTCTCTGATCGTCTTGGGAATTGGTGAATTGAGTTGAACTGTCTCAAGTACCTCAGTCCAGCATCTTGGCTCTGCTTCTACTCTTTAGAGGAGGTGCTTGGCTATACCTTTTAATTCCCCTCCATTAATGAGACTATACAAATGTATATTCTCTACACATTTGACTTTTACGCCTCACCTCACTTCTTCCGCAAGATGTGAGCTGATCATTGACACAAAAGATTCAGTTACTTGAACAAGCTCAACACTCCCTATTCAGGGCAATAGATACACTGTTCTTGAAGCCTTTCCCCATTGCCCACCTTCCAATCTCAGCTTAAATGTCACCTACTCAAAGGCTTTTGTGACTGACAATACAACTTGTCATCTCATGGTTCTCATTGCACCCCGAACTTTTCATTTATATCACCACAATTTGTACATCTTTTGTTTAACCTTAATTCTCACCACTGGATTGTAAGCTCCATGAGACAGTGATTTATTTATTTTTGATGATCTCTCTTTTTCTGTGCTTAGCTCACATCCCAAAAAATATTGGTAGAATGAATGAGTGAATGAATGAAGGAGAAACTCAAGGATGTAGTAATGCAGCCATCTCTAGCTTCTGCTTTCCCAGGAGTACCTGCTAAAGTGAAAGTAACCGGAGCAGAAGAGTTATTTATTACCTTAGTGCCAGAAAGTGGAGAAGTTGGGCTCTTGTGATGACACAGAAGAATTTTAAAAATTAAAAATAGCTTCAATTTTTTTTCTTAGTTGAACAGGGTTTTTTTATCCACAGAAATAACAGTCTCTGACTTCTCTATGATTATTCATAACATGAACTTTAAGAAAATTTTCTTACTATAACCTTGTTTCTTTATTACTATTTGTTTGTGGATGTTATTGTGTGTTCTGTTACTCAAGTCACTGTTTCCTGTCTAACTGAATACGATTTTAGGTATTGGATATTGGGTCTATTTAAATAGCAGTATGATGATGTGCTATTTCCTGAAGATGATACAATTAACTAACAGTATTAATAAATTTGTCTCTTTGATAACATGCAAAGTTTAGTGGCTTTGGGAATGTGGCAGCGTTAGAGATAACAGTTAAGCCTGCTCCCTAGGCTTGTATGTCTGCTTCCCTTTTCTCCTAATTGTTGACCTCTGCAAATACGTTCTGTTTTACCTTAAATTTCACTTCTATTTCCATTTTCTCTGTCAGATGAAAACAAAGGTTATTTCTAAGTGTCAATAGTTAAACAGAGAACACTGTTAGCAAGGTGTCTGTGAGAGATCTTATTGACGAGTACAAAACTAAAAAGTTATTGTAGAACTCTATTCAAATAATATTGCAAATTCATATATGAATAAACCAAAGGATACCGTTGTTATTTTGCACAGGCAACTGTGCAAAATAATAGAAAACAAGCTGAATGAGGTTCTACATTTCCTACTTATTAGTGGTATTAACTTGGACAAGTTACTTTTCCTAAGCCTCAGTTTCTTCATCTATAAAAGGACTTAACAATTTATCACCTTTATAAAGTGAAAAAGACAAAATATTAGTTATAAAAGTACTACAAAGACTTATGCATATATAAGTTACTGTTATATGGTAAATAATTTTATACAAATTTTCTGTATTAAAGTAGAACAGATATATTTTATATGTCTACACATAATTTGTATGGAAGAAAATGAAAATGAAATTTCTTACATGAAAAAGACATCTCTCAGTTTTCTTCCAGCCCTAAAATAGTAAATTAACACTTTCAGAATAATAATTTTTAAGTTCTGTTTTGTTGCAGTTAACATTTCTGGTTCACAAGCTCAATAATTTGTATTGCTCTTCTATTTAATGTGGGTTTCATTCCATATTCTTAATTCCAGTCTTTGAAACTGCTGCCCTCTTGTGGTTCTTAGTGACAATCTCATAGTTTGAATTACAACTCCTAATAGAAAGTTTTTTTCCTCCAGATAATCTGTCCCTCAATAATAAAAGCAAAATGGTATCAATTTGAGAAAATGAATTTAACTACATAAGATAATATAATGTATCAGAGCCAAGGCTATCTCTAGGCAGCAATGTTTGACATTTATGTCTTTTTTTTTTTCTTATAGCAATATGTTGAGAGTGACTTCTTTCATTAATCTGAATTGTCACTCTCATCTCAGACTTAGCATAAGGATCATCATCTTTAGGAAACCTCTCTTGACAGCACAGATTGAGCTCAGAGCCTCTTTTCCTTGCTCTGTGATGCTCTGTACACACCACTCTCTTAACAGTCCACTTTTGTACCTTTGGCACCTGATAGGACCTTGCTCATTATGTCAAGTAAATGTTGGTTGAATTGCCTCTTCTAACCTTTTGCTTTGTTTTGACTTGTATTAACTGTGTTTTCTGACTCTTTTCTAATTATTACCTCTTGTTCTAAAGGTACCCTCACTTCTAGCTTCTGGAGACTACCTGGGCCCAGTCCATTGATGTATCTGGCACTGGGCTTTCAATCTGAATCTTTCTTGGTTCTCTCCATTCAGGCTTCCAGTCTGTGATGAGAATTTTGAAGAGCAGTGGCATATAAACTGCCAGTGGTGGACAAAATGTTGTGTCTTCTGATATTTCTTGTTTGGAAATTGCAAGTTTAGATCTCAGAAATTTTAGAATGTGTCTGGAGTTTAGATACTAGTCCTATCCTTTCATTTTATAGTTGAACTTCAGACCCTGGAAATTAGGTGATTTGTCCAAAAAGATAAGTTAAGGAGATAAATGAATGTATTCTTTCAAATGAACCAATTCCTTTAATATCTTTTTCTTTAAAATATTGGTGGTTATTGACATCTGTTATGGGCTGAATTTTGTTCCCCCAAAATTCATATGTTTAAGTCCTAACCCCTGGTACCTTGGAATGTGACTGGGTTTAGAAATACAGCCTTTAAAGAAGTAATTAAGAAAAAGTGAGGTCAAATGGGTGGGCCCTAATCCAGTATGACTGGTGTCCTTATTAAGAAGAGGAGATTAGGACACAGACACGCACAGAGAGATCATGTGAAGATACCAGAGGAAGATGGACATCTACAAGGCCAGGAGAGAGGCCCTCAGAAGAAATTAACCCTGCCATCACCTTGATCTTGAACTTCTATCCTCCAGGATAGAAGGACATAAATTTCTGTTGTTTAAGCCATCCAGTCTGTGGTGCTTTGTTATGGCAGCCCTAGCAAACTAACACAGCATCCCCAATTTTTTTTTATTTGTCTTTATCATCATCCCTGGGGAATATGTGTTTTATGAAAGGGGGCAGAATCTCTCTTGTTTTCCTCAATGTCTTCTCTGTATAGTTCTGGAAACTGTCAAATCAGATATAAAATCAGTTTCGTCTAGCTGCTCCTGATCCCCATGTTTGCTAGGAATTGCAATTATAGAAGATACTCTGCAAATTCAAAACCAAGGTCACTACATGTGAAAGGCACAGTAAACAAGGATGACTACAAAATGTGGCACAAGAGTGTTTTTAGGAATACTTCCGAAAATCCAAAAACCTGGAACGAACTAAAAGCTTATGATAAATGTCAAAGACTAAAGTGACTTTTTGAAGTATTTGTTCAAATAAAGAATAGTAGGTCACTGTTTCAACCTTTGTTTTGCTTCTTTTTCTATGAAGAACATAGAACAAACGTGGCTTAAACGAGGTCTGGTTACCAGTCAAGCTGTATATACGAGGGTAGCAAAGTAATTTTCAAAAACACTCTCAGTTGTCTTTAAATAATAATGGAGAAGGGGAGAAGTGCACAGAAGACACGGCTTTCCGGAGAAGACTTGTGATTAACTGTCACAAACATTACAGCTTTTTATAACCACCCTCCCACACACCTTTCACAGGTACTTGATTTGAATTTGGAGTTTATTTATGCAAAATTCTTTCAAATTTACCTTACTCCAATTTTTGTTGCCTCCCATGCATTTTGATATGTAGTATTGTTTTCTTTCCTTAGTTGTTGACAGTCATACTTTTTACTTCTTGTTTGATTAAAATGTTATTTTTGATAGTATTTCTTATATTTCCAAGCAGTTGGGAATTTTTAAGCTTTTGCTATTAATTCTAGTTTAATTATACTGTGGTCAAAAAATGCAGCTTTCAACATTTCTGGTTTGGTGAATTTATGTTTCCTTTCATTCCTACTCCTGGAATTTTTATATAAATGCTTCATAGATCTTTGAAAATAAGGCATATTTTTAGCATTTGGCATTCAGAGCTTGATGTGTATTAAGTAATTTAAATTTGTTAATCATATTTTTCAATTTTTTTTATGCTTTTAGTATTTCTTTACTTGACTCTGTCGTAGATTGACTCATTTGTATTTTCTTTATGTTTGTATAATGTAAAATATACTCACTGCAGCAGTGTTTATAGCTGATAGAGGTTTTACTTTATATAGTTTGATGGGATGTGATTTTGTGTATAGACGTTCATGAGATGCGTACCTTTCGTCATAAAATTATCTTCTACTCCAAGGACTGAATTTTGAGTGTTTTCCCGCCTATTTTTGATATATTAATGTTGCTGCTTCTGCTTTCTTTTTTGTTCATATTTGTCAACCTTTTATATTTAACCTTTAACCTTTGGTGTCACTTTAAGTGTGCCTCCTGAAAACATCATGTCATTAGATTTTTAAAAATCATTCTATTTTATTTTCAGTAGAAAAATTTAACCATTTCATATTTTAAAATATAGCTGTTATACTTGATTTTGCTTCTCTCATCTTGCTCTATGCTGTTTTTAATTTTTTTCTTTTTCTGCATAAACAGTTATGATTATTACTATTTTATGCAGCGATTTGACATACCGGCATTCTTCTTTTGTTCCTTCATAAAGTTTTTCAAAGACTTTCTTAAAACATGGTACACCGGGCCGGCCCCGTGGCTTAATGGTTAAGCGTGCGCGCTCCAATGCTGGCAGCCTGGGTTCGGATCCCGGGCGCGCACCAACGCACCGCTTCTCCGGCCATGCTGAGGCCGCGTCCCACATACAGCAACTAGAAGGATGTGCAGCCATGACATGCAACTATCTACTGGGGCTTTGGGGGGAAAAATAAATAAATAAAATCTTTAAAAAACAAAAACAAAAACAAAACATGGTATACTATCAAATGGATTCATAGCTTACCCTTTTCTCAAGCTCCGAGTCGTTGAATTAAGGTTTACTGCCTCCTCCTGCTCCAGCATCCGCTTTCGGAGATGGCACAGCAGCAGCTGGGGGAGGACGTTTGTGTCTCTTTGGTGGGGGTCTCGCAGCAGTGCCTGCGCCGGAGCGTCCGGAAACTCCCCTAAGGTTTCTGGCTTATGGGTCACACCCCTCTCTGATTTCCAGTACTGATTCAGGTCTCTCCTTCTCCTCCCGCATTTTATATTCCTTGTATCATTTCAATAGGAATTTCGGAGAGGGGAGTTAGCAGCCTGTGTGTAAACCTCCATCTTGTCAGAAATCTGGTATGCCACATTTTAAAGAGGCGATAAACTCTAGAGGAGCTTGACCTGGATGGAGCATGAAATTATGTCAAAGGATGTACAATTTAAGAAAGGAAAGTGTTTGTGTCTGGAAAAGAGAAAACCTAAGTGGAATGTGACAGCTACCTTCAGATACTCAAAGGGATGCATGTTGTTCAAAGAGCTTGATTCTGTTTTGCCTCACAGACTAGTACTAGGACCAGAGTGGGCAAATTAACCTTGTTCAAGCTGCTGAGAGGAGGACACTGTCTTAAATGGCGGAGGGGTGTTGAACTATTTAATTTCTCAAGTTCTTTCCAACACTACGCTTCTGTTAATGTAAATACATTTGACATTTTTGAAATGTGGGATATAAAGCAGTTTTCTTTCCCAAATTTTGTGTCTATAAAAATTGAATGGAACACTTGTTAAAATGCATATATCTGAGCCCAGAAATTTTGACTTATTTAAATTTGGGGTAGGACCTAGTAATCCATATTTTCTGATGTAGGTTAATTTTGATAATTAAAATACTGTTCCTTAGCATTGTATGTTTTGGTTTTAGGATGTGTTTCATGCAACGTATTTTTGTTGATACTAAAGTGATAGTAACCAACACTTTAAAATATTATTTTAACATAATTCATTGATTTGAGTAAAGAGTATAGTAAATGCAATTACTTTATAACATTTGTTGCTGTAACTTAGGGTTTTGTAAAGAAATTGAAAATGGTAACTAAGTGCCAGTAATGAAGGAAACAATTGAAGTCAACAATTCTACATAAAACTGTGTCAGTTCGGGTCCTGGGGGAAGCAGACTCCAAGATGGAGTTAGAGTGAAAGATAAAGGGGAGGGAGAGCAGGGAAAGGCAAGGAAAGTCTTCAGATTGAGGTGCGGTTTCACACCAGAGAAAGTTGAGAGAGGGAAGGAGAGAGTGAAAAATGGAGAGCCTCAAACACACACAGGTGTGAGGAAGTCTAAGGCAGCCCAATGGTCAGCTCTGATGCAACGATTGACCACAGAAGAGACCACTGTTGGGTGGACATTGTTGGGGACAGGCCTTGATTCCCCCACAGTTCTCAGTCATTGATTGGGAGCTTTGTGGGGAGTGTGGCCTCTGCTCCAACATGGCGGCAGATCTAAAGTGCGGTAGCTGGAACTGTCAGCTAGCTACCTGTACTCCTTCCAACAGGTACTCTCTGGAAGGGAGATCTGAGCAGTACACATTCATGACTGCCACAAACCCGAGCCATATGTTTTTCAATACTGAAGAATGCGCATGCTTAGGGGCATAATTTGACATCATCTGTATTGATTTCTTTTGGCTTCTGTTTGACTACTTTTATTGCTTTAAATCTCTCAGCTTCTATTTCATTCTATTTTTTTTCTTATGTCAGATGTACAATATGAGTGATTCTATTCATGTATAATTTTATTTAAATTGATACAAAAATAAAATATTGCTTGTCAGAGTGTAATGGTAAAAAATGCTCTGTAAAGATGCGGGATTTTAAAAACTCAAGAGTCTTTCATGCTATTTCTCCAGTCTGGCATCGAGAAGAACTTGCACGCATTAACCAGTCTTTCACTGGAGCTGAAAGGAAGGCTGCTTTGTGTGAACTTCTGGAAAAAGAGATCCAGATAATTTCTTCCATTGGGAGACATAGATACATTGCTTACATGGCGAACCAAGAAGCATCAATACAAGCTTTTTTGGATAAGGTCAGTGAAGTAACAATTATTTACATATGAATATATCCTGAGTTTAAAAATGTAATGAACTAAAGAAGAGACTTACATTTTAAGAATTTGCATGAATTTTGCTTAGCATTTTGGTGACGTATTTCTTTAAATTCTATTTATTTTTTTTCTTTCTTCTGATACAGCTTTAGATTTTAACTGCAGCCTAGAATAACGACTGACGAGTAACATGAAATTAACATGTTGTTAACAAGAGGGATTTGACCAGGGAGGGAAAAATAGAGACACTTTCCTTGTGACTCTGTTTAGATTTAAGCTGGCTATAGAACTTAGATGAATTGCACACCCTGATAAAATGGAGTATTGAAGGCACAAAATGTCTGGGTTTAGAGTGCCCCCATAGTAAGCAACCTGGGGAAAATAGCTACAGGCTAGTGTTTTTGCTTTTGCTCACCAGGTCATTAACCGATCGGAAATTTCTAAGCAAAGGGATGTATGATTATTGAAAACCGTGAAAACATACAATTAAGGGAAAAACTAAAGTAATTACCTTTTCGTGGTGAAACTGCCTGCTTGATATTGAATAGCCTGTTTCCATAGTGACCAATTTCCTTTTATAAACCTGATCTTTCCAAACAATTAAAAGCCAGTCCAGCCACAAGAAGAAAAGAGATGGAGTTCAAGATATTCGCCTTTAGTGATTCTAGTTGTATGACTCTTGTTATTTGAGAACATTCGTTCTTACAAACCATATTTTTTTGATACTTCAAATGCCCTCCTCTTATCTTACTTACTTCCTGTTTGATCTCAGTTTTTCCTGTGGCTTTAACTACTACCTGCATTCTGGGACTCCCTATAGTTTCAGGCCAGATCTCTCTTGGGAGCTTCCAAATCACATATATAATTGCTTACTGTCATTGCTCTTTGGATGTCCCTAGAGTTCACCTCAAGTTGACACGTCAACTTCTAAGTCATATCATCTCACCATTCCTTCACCCCTTCCCTGCCTACTGATCCTATTCTGTAGCACTCACATAGTTTATCTCCATGAATATTTCATCATCTATTCAGTTGCTTCAGGCAGAAACCTGGGCATTATTCTTGACATCCCATCCAGCCACCAACTTGTTTGTTCTATTACTTTAATAATCTCCTCAATTCTTTACTTCTTTATCTCCAAACCCACTGCCACTGCTTGTAGGGAAATGGCTCTGCCATGGCACCCTGATGACTTTGCACGTATTCAAATAGGTCATGTAGGCCAAGACTTGAACTGCAGCTAATCCAAGTCTTGGTGGAATGCCTTGTGGTCCTGCTGGAACACAAAGGCGTGGGCGGCTTCTGAAGAGATGCTGTGGGGCAGCTCCTCTCTCTTGCCTCCCTATCTCCCTGTCGTGAGACAGGTCTTGTCTTGTGTGTGTGAGCTTGACACAGATTTAGTTGAATCTGAATTTCCTCCCCATTTGGATTACTTTATGTCTCCAAATGAGGCTCTTGGCCTCTAGTCTCACTTCTCATTTCCCTCCTTCATTGTCCATACTGCTGCCATCGTGGCCTCATTAAAAACAACTCTGCCCCTGCCTCTGCTCGCTGCCCTCAGGGAACAAGGATTTTCATAATCGATTCTCAGCACACCTTACCCATCCCACGGTTGTCTCACTGTTGTCTCTCTTCACATGCTACAGCCACACTGCTCCAGCCATGCTCAATTACTTGCACATTGTCAGAAAGACCATGTGCTCTTAATGTTTTTGCATTTGGTGTTGCCTCTACATGGAACTTCCTTTCCTTCCTTCCTCAGTAGCCATCCTTCAAAACAAGCTCAGATGCCCCTTCTTCCAGAAAAGATCTGCTAATCCGCCTACGTTAGCCTGTACTGTATGCTTTCATGAGACTTTGATTCACCTCTCTTTTAGTACATAGTGGTCAATTTTTATTATATCTATTTACATCTCTGAATCCTTCCTAGATGCTGAGCTTCTTAAGGCAAGAGCTATCTTTTATCTCTGTATCCTCTTATCCTAGCACAGTGCTTATCACAGATATCAATCAATGTTTGTGCAGGAAGACAGGGAGGAAAAATAAGTGGCAGAAATAATTATTGTGTAATTTTATATTTCAGGCATTAACAAGAAATTATGCAATGTAGATACTGTCATTTCAAATTCTTGAGTATATTCATTCTAGGAAAGATGCGTCTACTGTATGGAAGCCGTAATATTCATACTTCTCCAGAGTCATATTGCGAACTCAATTTATTTCTTTAGCGAGTTGCTTTATCATGAATCCAGCTTCACCACTGGGAACTGTGTTCCTTATATGTCTGCTTGTTAACCTTACCAAAGAGGACAACTTGGAGCCAGGGCACAAGGGAGTTTGAAGGAGCTGGAGGCCTCTCAGGTGCCAATGGACAGGGAAGTTGGGTGGCGCCCACCCTTCCTTATTTGAGGCTGCACCTTCTACAGGATTTCCCACTTGTACTTTCTCTGCTGCTTTGTTTCCTATAAACTATTTTAAATTCTTGTTGTAAATACTTATACACTGTCTGTTCTTCTTTATGCCTTTACACCCTCCCACCAGGCCTCATGTCTAGCATTATCTCTAAACACTTTTTGAAGTATAAAGAGTCCAAAAGTCGATCAAGTCCCAACATATAATAATGACTCTGGAGCCAGTTGACAACCATTACTCTTTCTCATGAAGTATAGCATCCTAAGAAGGCTTTAAATCTTACCCAAAAAAGATGAGGTGGGGAAATTTTGTTCGCAAGAATTCCTATGAGGAAGGAAGATCTTTTTTTTTTATTTTTGGGTTTTGTAAATACTTTGATAAGTTATTGGGGTAGAATCTGAGACCCTGAAGGATCCTGAGTGTAGGAAGAATTGCTCTGTGCCAGGAAAATGAAGGTTTATGGGTGTTGTCAGGAGAGAAAGAGAGTAGAGTGAAGAGACAATTGGAAGGCAATGGGGCACAATGTGGCTTCTTGTGACTTCCTTAGTTAGATTACTAAATAAAAGAAATATTAAGTGCAAGATTATTATTATTATTATTTTTTGTAAGAGGAGAGGGAACAAGGGAAATGATTAGGCATTAATGTCCAGACTGACTCAGGGCAGCACACAAGGTGTAAGACCAGAAGATTTCAATAGAAATCTTCATTGGAAGATTCTTCATCCTTCAATGGAAGGTTGGAAAAACTTAGCCACAAGAATTTGTAGAAATCAAAGAAAATGAGCCAGCCCTGATGGCCTAGTGGTTAAAGTTTGGTGCTTACTGCTTTGGCAGCCTGGTTTCATTTTCCGGTCGTGGAACCACACCACTTGTCTGTCAGTTGCATGCTGTGGCAGCAGCTCACATAGAAGAACTAGAACAACTTAGGATATACAACCATGCACTGGGGCTTTGGGGAGGAAAAAAAAAAAGAGGAAAATGGGCAACAGATGCTAGCTCAGGGCAAATTTTTACCTGCAAAAAAAAAAAAAAAATAGAAAGAAATCAAAGGAAAGGCTTTTTATGGGTCATAGGTCTTAGAACTGGACTTCTAAACTCACAGTCACCCCAGCTGATAAACCAGTTAATCTCACCAATCCCTAGGCTAAGATTTAGAGGAAATAGGAAATTTAGCTGATACAAGGGAATTTTGCTGCATTTTTGACCAAAGTGTTGTATAGGGCAAGAAAAACAACCACCAAATGGAACAACTATACTTGAGGTCAATCCCCAGTCTGTTACATAGCCTAATTAGTCCAGCCTTTAAAAATATTGAATAATAGTGACTTTTTGGCCTGCTTTAACCTGTTATAGTAAATTATAAAATCTTTGTTACTCTAATACAAAATCATTTTAATCTTCTTTTTGTACATGATACCATACTAAACATCATAGAAAACGATTAAGATAGATTTTATAGTTGGTCTTTTGTTGTAGATACTTATACAATGTCAATTCCTCTTTATGCCTGTCCATCTTCCCTCCACACCCCCCACGCCTAGCATTGTCTCTCATATTCAGGAGGACTCAGTGTTGATTTTATAAGACTTGAAGTAACTTATCATTCTACAGTTTTTCTGATTGCTAAGAAAGAATAGCTTATAATTTAATCCCTGAAGCTAGACAAGATCAGAGTTTTTTCAAATGTCAACACTAACAACCAGAGCTGTAATGCAGATTTTAAGATCCACATTTAGCACCATAACATATAGATATGGAAAGAGAATATTTCCTTTTTGTCATCTGGAAATGACTTTGGAGAATAAAATTTTGTGTTTTGGTTTTAGTTTAACTTCGTTGAATCTAAAAATTATGTGGTTTATTGAACTAATATTTTGTTTTTCTTTCTTATCCTGAACACAGAATTTCTCTGAGTAGTGAATAATATGATTTTAAATTAGTCCAATCAAGGCATTGAACTGATCAGTTATTAAGGACTCTATACTAAGCCTTCATTCTCCATAAAGGGCTTAATCTCAAGATTTTTTAAAGCATTAGTTAAATAAATTGTAATTTTAACACATCAAACACTGACCTCCACAGGTTATCAAATGTTAAAAACTCACAAGTTGACAGAGGTGAAGAAATTCAGGTCAAGAAATCTGAATAAAAAGTCATCAGCCAGTTTCTGATATACCTGGAGTGCTCTTTACCCAAACGAGGGAAAGAAACCATTTGAATTTCCACAAGAGGTTTTCCCTAGGGTCACGGCCATTTATTTGATTCTCTTTGATTCGTACACCACTTCTCACAATCACAAGCTAAAAAACTGCAATCCAGTTAGATGCGTCATTTGAATGTTTTTTCCCCCTCCCCCATACTCAGGGGGCCAACAGCTGATGGGATAGAAAAATGCAGCCGACTCTTGCCTCTCTCTGAGCTCCACACTACACAGGGGTGTCCTCTGTGGACGAACAAAACCTGTTCGCTGTGTAAAAGAAAAGTGGATCACTACCCAGTAGCTTTTGGGGGGTTAGAGTCTTTCTTAATTTGTGTCCTTACGGACTTGACTGTTAATTTAGGAGGAAGAAAAGACCTCCTCTCACGTACAGTCATTTCTTTTCTTTTGTGGAAGCCTGCTGCTCTCAAGGTTTTTGTTATCTCTCCACCTTCCCTTCAGTGAAATGTGTCTTCCTGCTGTTCTTCTGTTCTCTCCTCCAGGGTCTGCGCTGTCTCATTTGTTGGCAGCTAAATGGAATTTATTACGCTCCTGTTTTCTGAAGCAATTTAAGAACATGATTGTTGTACGTCTCTTATGATAGCCCAGGCATTCAAAGGAAAAAGGAAATAGGAAAGAGAAGTAAGCAAAGTTGACATTTTCCTGCATCAGAGTAAAAAAACACCTTAAGGCTTGAAAGCAAAGAAGCCTGGACTTGAAGACCAAGTTATCAGTGTTGGTAGAAATAATATCCAAGTATAAAAAAGCTTTGCCAATAGATGTTTTGTATTTTCTCAGTGCCAACACTAGGGAACTTGACCTTCAAATCTAGGATTCCTTGGTTCTATCACTCAGTTCCGTTTAATCCAGCTAACTCCTAGTTATTCTTCAGGTTTCATCTTAGATGCTATTTTATTTTCACTAGTTAAATGCTTCATTGTGACTTGTAGTTACCTATTTACTTGCAATCATCAAGCATAATCACTCTTTCTTTTAATTACTTATTTTCTTATCTTTACATTCCATTAGATTTGAGAGTTCTTGAAATCATGATAGTATTTTATCTACTCGGTACCTAGTACACCGACTGATATATAGTAAACACAATAAATATTTGTTGACTGAATCAATGAGTACTGTAGACCCTGTGAGATATGCAGAACTACATGAGAAACTTATTTCTTATAATCTTTTGGGAGAAATAGAATTAACAAACATAAAATAGTTATGGAACAATTTGGATTCAAATTTCATTGTCCTGAATGATTGAAATAGAAACACTGCATATTTTGTGTGTGTTTGTGTGTTTATAAGTAAAATAGGATTTCAGATACTAGTGATTTCATTGGTTCAAACCATAATAGTTAGGAATCTTTATGGAAAAGGTAGGGTTGGAGTTAAAAATTGAAGGACGAGAAGGTTTTGGATGTTGAATATATTTGGAAACATCCAAGATATTGCCATATCATACTATATTAGATGGGGCTAAAGACTTGGAGGGAAGGTAGAGTTAAATCAATCTATCAGCTGAAAAAAATACAATGAAGTAGGTGAACTAGGCATTTCATTAAAAGGTTATATTATACTTGGATTGTTACAAATGAAATAAGTTACCAGCTTGCAGAGCAAAAGGTATTGTCCACATTACTAGAAGAAAAGAAATTGCATTTAATAGAACCACCCTGAGGAAAATTGCTTGCAAAGATTAAGACATTAGTTCGACTTTAGAATATTGCAATATGAAACTTAGCCTAAGAATGCTTATTCCTTAAAACTTTTAAAAAGAGCTTTGAAACAAGCATTAAACGTCAAAGCACTCTGAGGCCTACCCCAAACAAGGCTGTATCCATTTAAAACAATATTTTTTTTATTTCTGAGTGATAATAATTAAATGATAAAATATTTTATTGAGCTATTTCCCTCTTATAATCCTTAATAAATCTTACTTAATGCTATCAGAGAGCTAATTAACAATAATTATA